GAAGTAGTGGACACTTGGATTGATAAGAGTACAAACCTTATCACATTGGAATATAATCCATTTATTTATTTATAGTATTTTTATCCTGCCTTTCTCAGCCTGAAGGCAACTCAGGGCGATGTACAGATTGGCAACAATTAGATGTCACATCAAACATACATACATATAAATTTAAAACATTTAATATTACATAAAAAAATCCATATAAAACCATTAAAACTACGATCATCAATGTCTTCCCGTTCAATACCTTATAGTGGTATGCATCCTGTATATTTTTAGGGCTGGATGCATACTGTATTGAGACAGGATGCATACTCTCCTCATCACACCTGATTATTACAATTCTTATGATTTGAAAATATTGCGCTTTGACTTGGCTCTACATTTCCTACATTTCCACCACCAACAATCCACACTTGGAAGGTCATCATACTCAGACAACGAGGGATTGTCTAAGTAAGTAAACTTTGACCCATCACTCCATGGAAGGCTGGCTCCTCCCAATCCATTCAAAACACTTCCTATATCACTCTATGACCTTTTAAAAAGTATCATTGCTAATGGGATGTATACAGATTTTCCTATCACACACGAAAGCAGCACTTCAGCAATGGAAGCCTCTGTAGTATTTCAAAAAACACGATTAGAATTCTGTCTGCAAATAATCTGTTTCTGCGACACTTTGCAGATGGATTCTGACAAAATACTGAAGGGCTGGAGCAAACGTCATGTGATGGGACCAATTCAAAATCATTCTCAAACAGTCTCAGAAATGGAATATTTCCTAATGTGATAAGGTCCTTTATATGAAAAGAATCTAGACATCTTTGTTGTTGTTGTTGTTGTTCATTCGTTCAGTCGTCTCCGACTCTTCGTGACCTCATGGACCAGCCCACGCCAGAGCTCCCTGTCAGCCGTCACCACCCCCAGCTCCTTCAAGGTCAGTCCAGTCACTTAAAGGATGCCATCCATCCATCTTGCCCTTGGTCGGCCCCTCTTCCTTTTGCCTTCCACTTTCCCCAGCATAATTGTTTTCTCTAGGCATCTTAGTAGACCACAAATTAAACATGAGTCAACAGTGTTATGTGGTGGCCAAAAAAGCCAATGCATTTATAGGCTGCATTATATGGAGGATTGTGTCTGGGTAAAAGAAAGTAATAGTACTACTATTCCTCTTTGGTGAGATCTCACCAGGAATACTGTGTCCATTTCTGGATTTTGCGGTTCAAAAAGAATATTGAAATGTGCAGAGAAGGTTGACAAAGATGGCAAAAGGCCAGAAAACCAAGCTTTATGAGGAATGTCTTTTTAACTTGGAGATGATAAACTTAGAAGTGATACAATATCTGTATTTAAATACCTGAAAGGATGTCATGTAAAAGATGGAGTAAGCTTTTTTCTTGTTGTTCCAATTGATTCAAATGGCAAGGAAAGAGATTCCATATGGACGTCAGGAAGAACTTATTTATGGTAAGAGCTCTTCAGCATTGTAATAGATTGCCTTGGAGGGTGATGGAGAGTTCTTTAAACAGAGTTTGCATGGCTTTCCTTTTTTAGCTGTGTATTCCTGCATGGCAGGTGGTTAAATTAGATGGCCCTTGGGATACCTTCCAACTCTATGAGTCTATGCTGCTGTGATGTACTCTATCAAACAGAAGGTCACAGGCAGAGCTGACTGTTATTATCTAGGGGGAAAGTAGATGTTCAGTAGAAGTCTTGGGTTTTTGCCAGAAATCTAAAACTGTGTGTGGCAGGAAGAACGATTTAGATGGGAGAAACATGGGCAAGAGTGTACCTGGTAACCCATCCATGCTCATCATTTTAATTAATTTATTCTCTTTATATCCCAATATTGTGGAACCTAAGGAGCCTTACAGCATGATTAAAAACAACTACCACTAAAGAGTATGTTATAGCATTAGAAATGTCTTTAAAACAATCCAAAAGCACATCAGAAAGAGGGGGGGGGGAGGGAGAGAGAAAGATAGAGAAGAGGCACAAATCAGCCTTCCATCAAAAGCCCCACCCCCACCCTCACCCCCACCCTCACCCCCACCCTCACCTTTTACAAGATGGTTTGCTGTTATACAGATTGTTGCCTGCAAAATTAAAACTTAAGTAGCAGAGAAAGAGTAACCACCTCTTCCTTGTATAAGGTAACATTAGGGTGGCCAAGTCAGGACTAACCCACATACTGAGATTTTAGGGCTTCCGCTTGTGATGCTATAAGGACAGTCCATGTCATTAAGCAGGATAAATTCAGCATCAACCACAGTTGTACTAAGTATGTCAAACAAGTGAAAGAAAACAACTAAATCAAAGAAACAAAAATATATATGTCTTTTCAACATGGTGCTCTCGCCCTGAGATTCCTTTCATTATTCCTTGGGATCAGAATAGGCCTGGCCCAGAGATCTGGGAATTCTGGAATTGCCCCCTCAAATTGTTCTAGCATTGCAGCTCTTGGCCAAAACATACAGCACATAAGTCACCCTTCTTCCAATGACCACCCAGAGAGTGTCAGGAGCTAAGGACAGTGGCAAACTGGTCTAGAGTCAGCACCTGGCTGAAATAGGTATAAATATTCATACTGGGGCTAACACCAGTTGTACCAGCATCCCACTTATTCTCTTTGAGTATATTATTTTATGCAGCTTCGGGCTGACCAGGCCTGAAGAGGGTTACATGTTTCCATGTTATTATTTTACAACTCTGGAACTTTGTAAACTGTTTTTATATGCTGTACACCGCCGCAAGTCGCCCTAGGGCTGAGAGCGGCGGTCAATAAATGCACCAAATAAAATAAATAAATAAATAAATAAATAAATAAATAATCCCAGGTAAATGTGTTTAGCCTGTCACATAGGCATGTGAACCAAGCATATCCCTATCATCATTTTGAAGTGAGCTGGTTGTCTTCTTGCTAGTCTACAAGCTCCTTCTGGCATCAGGACAACAGTAATCTGTTTCTCTAGTTACGCTGTTGATATGATTTAAGTGACTTTGAAATGCAAAATTGCACTTTAAAAAGAATTGGAAAACAGGTATTTCTTCCTCACTTTTAATATATTAGGAAAGATTTGAAACAGGGAAAGAAAAATAGTACATTAAATACCGGTGGCACAATGGGTTAAACCAGGCATCCTCAAACTGCGGCCACCAGCTGTTTGGGCCTCCAACTCCCAGAAGCCCTAACGAGCTTGTTCAATAGCCTGGAATTATGGGAGTTGAAGGCCCAAACAGCTGGAGGGCCGCAGGTTGAGGATTCCTGGGTGAAACCCTTGTGCCAGCAGGACTGCGGACCAAAAGGTTGGTGTTTCAAATCCAAGGAGCAGGGTGAGCTGTCAGCTCCAGCTTCCCATGTGGGGACATGAGAGAAGCCTCCCACAGGATGGTAAAACAGCTGGGTGTCCCCTGGCGACATCCTTGCAGATGGCCAGTTCTTTCACACCAGAAGCGACTTGCAGTTTCTCAAGTCTCTCCCAATATGAAAAAAAAATCAACAGTGGAATGGAGACAGATCTTGGCTATCATCATTGAACTGCAGCTTTCTCCTTTTTAGCTCCTCAACCTTGACACAGGTATCTAGAAACAGGTCTCTGTTGAAAACATTATTTGGGCTTTAATTGAAGAGGCTAGGATTTAACTGCAGAGTTATGTGTGCAAAGTGTATGCACTGGCAAGTAGTTTTAGGTCCTTCCGTTTAAAATGTTTGATTTTTCCATTGGTAGAGCTAATTTACATTTGTGAATCTACCTAGTTTATAGAAAGGGATAGTTTCATCCCAGTTTTTGCTACAGTTGTGTGACTACACATAACTTCTGTATAATACAAGAGTGGGTAACCTTTGGCTGTCTGGGTGTTCAGGAGTACAGCTTTCATAATATGTTACTACTGGGTGTGTTTTGGGGTTTTCTGCACATCTCTGTTTTGGAAAGAGCAAGAGATGACATGATTACAAACATATTTCTAGCTGCTGAGAGAAAAGGAAGACAAAACCAAGGTGATATCCCAGTTTATCTTCCTATAGTTAATTTGCTCTGGCAGGTACCTAAAAAATAGTTGGGCTGTGTTTCCCCCCTTTCTTCTCTCTTGGCAGTGTGAGAGGGCCACTACCATCCATGTGTTTCTCGTTTCCGCCTCTTCCTTGGCAAGACTGACTAGAGGCAGGTGGCTTTTGGCAGGTGGCCCATTCACTTGGCCCTCCCCAATCCAGACGGTCGGTGCCCTTGTCAGCCAGCAAATTATATTGGGCTGGCCCTGCCTCTTGGTGAAGTTCAGTCCCAGCAGCTGAGATTCCTTATCTTTGTGTGAGAACCAAGACTAAAATGGATCATTCAGCATAAATTTACATACTGATGTCCTAGTCTTGCTGACAGGCATCATGTTCTATAGGAATGTCTTTTCCCAAATAGTCTTGTTGGTCATGATGACAGATAAGTCATCGAGAACAACTGTTCAGATTCAGTTTTGTATTCATCACTGATTACCAAAGATAAGAAGAAGGTGTGTTACTGTGAAAATTTCTGCACCATGTAGCTTTAACAACCCTGTAGGGAGCTTGTTAATGAAGAAAAACATTACAGAAATCAACTAGAGTGTTATTCTAAAGCATATTATAATACCATACTCTAAGGAACTGCCATAAGAAGAAATATGTTCACAGTCTTTGTTTACACATAGCTGTAATTCCTGTCTCTTTTTTAAAGTATTTTTTTAAATAATATTGCTTTGATAAGTTCTGCTGTCTCATTTTTATAACAAGACCTATTCATTACAGGATCTAAGATCGCATCCTTCATTTCTTAATAGGTGTTTTGTGTCTATGTGGTGTGTGTATGGCGGGAGGGGAACAAAGTGTTGGTTTTTGCATCTTGAATTTCCTTCATAGTCATTAACTTGATTCATCTTCTTGTGAGTTTGTGATCTTCCACCTAATTCATATTTCTCCATGTAGAAGTTGACATGGTCAATTCTATTTTTCTTTTTTGGTATAGTGTCTATGATCCTGACAGAAATATGCTGCGCAGGAAAGAATGGGAAAGAAGAAATCAGGATATCCAGCATGACGATGGTGTATTTAACGCCAGTTACTCTCTCTTCAGTGAACCATACAAGGTAGTTTTGTTTTTTACCCGTTTTCCTCTCCATCATTTGATGGTTGATACTGCTTCTAGTAAAGCAGGGAAGCACTACTACTTATGGACCAATTGTTGATTTGTGAGAGTATCTCTTAGAGTCCATTGTATAAATGCAGTAGGGTGAACTATTAGTATCATGAATTTTTTGGCTGTATATGCAAACCCCTCCATTTGTTTCTATTGCTGATCTTTCCACTGTTATCTAGAGATGACAAACTGCATGATAGTTGACTTCTTTTTTCAAGAGCCCTTTTCCTGTCAAGGGCAAAATTATGTAAATATCCTGGACATAAGGGGTGAGATTCATGTAGCCCTCCCAAAGTTATAACACTTAGGGTGCATCTACACTGTAAAATTAATGCAGTTTGACCCCATTTTCACTGCTATGTCTCAGTACTATGGAATCATGGGAGTAGTCATTTCACAAGGTTTTTTTTACAAGGCACCAGCGCTCTACCAAACTATAAATCCCAGAACTATAAATCCCAGAATTCCATAGTATTGAGCCATGACAGTTAAACTATATTAATTCTATAGTGGAAATGCACCCTTAAGCCCATGCAACCATCCAATAAAATCTGAATGGTTGCATTATACCCATTCAATCCTAGAAATTGTCAGTGGAAACTTATAGTGTTTTGTAATAACAGGAGTAAATCTAATGTCTCTTGCCAACTGGAGTACACCTGTTGAATCAATGGGGTTTACATAAGTTTTGATATTTAAAGAAATAGCCATATTAGTCTGAGCATAAAATAAGGGTGTTTGTCTGTGAAAGTGTGTTGTCATCTATTCTAAAATAAATCCGTTACTCCTAAAGGGACTACAGAACCCTCTCCTCTTATCTTGTTATACATAGGTGTTGACTTATGTATAATTGATTGAAGGGGTATTACATAGCAGAGACTAGTAATTGGATTTAGTTTGGCTCCTTGGCTCAAGCTGCAGTTTCTATTTTCTGCTTTTCATACATAGGTCTGGGTTACATCAGCCTTGGTTAGGAGAAAGGTAAAGATTGCATTTCCCCTCCATTCAAAAGAACTGAATTAGAGTCAGCAATTATGATAAGCTATCCATCAATTTCTCCAACCCCAAAACACCAGCGAACTTTCAATCAACTATTCAAAACTATCCAGCTGTTCTTCTATCGGTATTAACCCAAGCTGTGCAACCCTCAGAATCTTACAAGGATAGCTCCATCTTGGAAGAAAATGACATATTGTAAGGTAAAGGATTCCCCTGACAATGAGTCTAGTCATGTCTGACTCTATGGGGTGGTGCTTGTCTCCATTTCTAAGAGCCAGGGTTGTCCTTAAACACCTCCAAGGTCATGTGGCCAGCATGACTGCATGAAGTGCCGTTACCTTCCCACCAAGGCGGTACCTAGTGATCTACTCACATTTTCATGGTTTTGAACTGCTAGATTGGAAGAAGCTGGGGCTAACAGCAGGAGCTCACCCTGTCTGGTGGATTTGAACTGCCAATCTTTTGGTCAGCAAGTTCAGCAGCTCAGCGGTTTAACCCACTGTGCCACCAGGGGGCCCAGTATCCAAGTAAAATTATCTATGCAAAATGACCTATCAACCTCAAAAAATAACAGTGAAAAACATAAACAAATAAATTAGCAGGGATATATTTAATAAAGATAAATACACAAGGCTAAATAGTACTTTCCCTTTTACTAGTGTAAATTTCAAAACACATTTCATTCAAACCACCCAAAATATTTTTTTCTGGTCATATTTTCTGCTGATATGTTTTAAAGGAGGATGTTTATCTAAATGATGGATTGAGATTGTATGTGATGTATACCTTGAGGTCCGTTAATCCTTTTCCATGTTTAGAGTAAATGTACACTATTTGTACATTTGTACACATTTGTACACAGATAATAAAACATCTTGACTTTGTTTTTCAATTGTTATGCTACTAAACTGACCACATTAACAACATGGTTTTCAGTTGATTTATTTGTTACACAATGCCATTCTGTTTTGTTTCGCTTTACAGACTAACAAGGGAGATGAACTCTCCAGTCGGATCCAGAGTACCCTGGGCAACTACGATGAGATGAAAGAGCTGTTGACGGATAGATCCAATCAAAGCCATCTTGTTGGTGTTCCAAAGCCTTGCGTATCACAAACATCTGTGACTAAAGCTGAGGAGCACTTTACTGCTGACCCAAAGCCACATATGCAGGCTTCCATTTGCAGTCCTCCAACGTCCTTGCCAGTGCCACCATCTGGACAGCTGAGCAAGGCTACAACAATGGGTTGGCAAAAGTCTGGATATACTTTGGAGAGCCAGCCAAGGGGAGCAAAACATAAGCATGGACTATCTGATTCACATTGCAATGACTTTAAGATAGCTAACCAAAAGAACAATTTAGAAAAAGCAAAACTTTATTCATCCAGTCCATCATCACCATCTTCATCCAGTGCTGCACAGGGCCTTTTACCATCTACACCTGTAGACAGCATCCGAACACAGCAGCAGCCAAAGCTGAGTTGTGGTGCAGATGTTGGAGTTCAGGTTCAAGAAAGGGCAGCAATGCATAGCAATGGACATTGTGTACAAAATTTTCCCCCTTCAAAGCCCAGTATAGTTCAACAGAAACCAACTGCTTATGTAAGGCCAATGGATGGTCAGGATCAGGCTCCTGATGAATCTCCAAGACTAAAGGTACCGGCTGAAACCAGCATGGTGTGTAGTTCATATAGAGGGATACCTTCAGCTAAAACTGATTCAACTAGGACCAAGTCAAAAACAACAAAATGTGATATCTCCAAGCAAGATGAAGTAAGTGCCAGTTAATTACAATATGGTATTATAAATGGTTAATTGCTCTCTCAGTATTAAGATCTAAATCAGGCCTGGACAACCTGTGGCCCTCCAGGTGTTTGAACTTCAGCTCCCAGAATTCCTGGCCATTGGACAAGCTGGCTGAGGCATCTGGGAGTTGGAGTCCCAAATAACCATAGGGCTACACGTTGTTCAGGCCAGGTCTAATTGTTGTTGCTGGCCACAACTAAGCAGAACCATCAAATTTGTATGATTGACTTAAATGTTGGCTAACCATTCATCAGTCAAATCACTGAGTCTGCTCCAGGTTGGACTAAAGCAATTGCCTTATATGTGTGTTTTGTTATATTTTCAACATATTAACTGTAGCTCAGTCTGCAAGTAGCAAATATATAGTGGAATCAAAGTGCTAAAAGGTTGTGTGTTTTGTTATATTTTCAACATTAATAACTTTTATTTCTAGTTGAGGTGACAAACTGATCTTTTAAACAGATATGGGTTTTTATTTATTGTGTGAGAAGCAAATTTAAAATATGGTTATAATGTATAAAAAAACCACAAGCAAAGTTTAAAAACATGGCATTATACTAAATTTCCTTTGACCAGAAGCTGGCTACTTGATGTGCCTCTAGTGTCACTGTGAGAAGGTCCTTCATTTTGCATGTGGTAGGGCTCAGGTTACATTGTAGTAGGTGGTCTGTGGTTTGGACTCCACTTTGTAGCCTCATTTCCTAAGATTAGCTCTGCATCTCGTCATGCCAGAGCACAGCCTGTTAAGCGCCTTCCAGGTCACCGAGTCTTCTGTGTGCCCAGGAGCGATTCTCTCATCCAGTATCAGCCACTGATTGAGGTTCCAGGTTTTAGCCTGCCACTTTTGAACTCTTGCTTGCTGATGTTTTCCTGCGAGTATCTCTGTAGATCTTATGAAGCTATTTCTTGATTTAAGACATTGGCATGCTGGCTTATATTAGAACAGAGGATGGGCAGGAGTTGCAGCATGCAACGAAAATTGATATGGCAATAACTAAAGAATAGTAGGCTTTACAATTGGGGAGAGGGTTTTAAAATCTTGACTCTAAAATATATTCCTTCTTGATGTATGGATAAACAGATTGGGTCATCACTCAGCCAAGAGATTTTTGAGGGTAAAACCTGATTTTCCTTTTTTTCCCCACTAACGCTTCTAGTGCTGAAATAAAGAACAGGCATAATCTAATTGTTAATCTGTGATGGGCCTCTACTGGACAGTCTTTGTGTCATTGCTGCTGACGTTTGACAAAATTTCTTCCACTCAGCTGAATAAAGTCCCACATTTTCTGCTTTGAACTGGGATATATGACAATGTGGACTCATATAACACAGTTCAAATGAGATATTGTGGGATTTTCTACCTTGATATCCTGAGTTATATGGATGTGTGGAAGGGCCCTAGGTCTCTCCAAATGGGACGGCAAAATTGTGATACATGTGAGCTTGATTGATGATTTTAGACTCCTTAAGAAGTACCTATATTATTTATCAAACCTGCTTGTTTTTACAAGTATAAAGTAATTCATAGCTGAAAAATACATGTTAAAACCAGTTAAATAATTCCAGGTCCACCTTTTTTAAAAAGATACAAAAAAGAGGAATATTGAAAATCTATGGCTGTTTCTTACAATAGAAGATCCTCTTTCTCATTTGCTCCTGGAAGGTTTCATATCTACAGGCCATGAAGTTGGCTTCAGTACAAATGAATCACAGGAAGTAGCACTTGAATACAAATTATAGGCCATTACTTTTAAATATGCAGGAAAGGTTGATTTCCCCTGCAGTTCGGTTCCTCATTTAATATTGTTAATCAGCTTTGGAAAGCTCTCGATATCTTGGCATAGAGTGAATCTTATAATAATTTTCAAAAATTGTTTTAATGAGAATACCCTAGCTATACTTTATGTATAAAGGCATCAAGTGTTCATTTAGTATTTAATTTTTAGGAGTCAGTTTCATCAGTATCAATCAGACTTCATATCCGACCTCCTGGACCTTTCCAAAATCATCCTCCTTCTGAGTGTAAAAGATAGCCTCTCATCTCAAGTGCGGCTGTTTCACATTTTGAATTTTATTGTAAGCTGCTTATGAATTATATTATTAGAATGAAAGTCTGGTGCATTGAAGAGAAAAATCTTAAAGCATAAAATAGGCCACCGAGAGACACTTGTTCCTTGTGTTGCTCTTCAAAAATTACTTGCTGTATGTGCCTGCATTCTCATTTATCTCAGATTTCTGATTTATATAGTGTCCTGGCTAGGAATAAAATGCTAAGGTCCAGTGTCTGGATTCTGAAACGTGCATTCATATTAAGCTGTCTTTATGCACTTCTATTTTAAAGTGTAGGCCAATATATCTAGTCAGATATAAATCTCATTGACTCCAGTGGCTCCTCTTCTCAAGTAAGTAGTTAGAGAAGATAAAAATCTAAAACAAGGGTAGGGAACATGAAGCCTTCTAAATGCTGGGTTACTGTGAGTTTTCTGGGCTGTATGGCTATGTTCCAAAAGCATTCTCTGCTGACGTTTTGCCCACATCTATGGCATGCGTCCTCAGAGGTTGTGAGGTCTGTTGGAAACTAGGCAAGTGAGGTTTATATATCTATGGAATAGTGTCCAGGGTGGGAGAAGGAACTCTTGTCTGCTTGAGGCAAATGTGAATGTTGCAGTTGGCCACCTTGATTAGCACTAAATAGCATTGCAGCTTCAAAGCCTGGCTGATTCCTGCCTGAGGGAATCTTTTGTTGGAAAGTGTTAGCTGGCCTTGATTGTTTCATTGCTTCTAAATGCTGTTGGATCACAGCACTCAGCATTCCTCATTGTTAAACATGATGAAAGTTGTACTCCAACAACATTTGGAAGGATGAATGATCCCACTCCTCATCTGTGCACACATTTGTATGCGTATCTCTTCCAAAGTAAGTCCAACTGACTTCAGTGACACTTCTCCCAAGTACATGTGTATAGGATTATGGTTTTGACTCCCTGCAGAGATATTTACAATTGCACAATTAACTAGTGCCATTTATATGTGGTGGTGTTATTTTTTTTTCATTCAGTCCGTTTCCACTGTGATAAATGAGAATTTCCATAATGAGAAAGTATAAATTGTTGTCTTTTCCACATTATAGTTGACGATAAACTTCAGTCATTTGGGGACAGTTGCTAGCTTCAGGAACATTGTACATTTAAAATCAATAAATTACATTTATGAATTTGTAGGTATCTCACAAGTCTATTTGGAATATTAACAATTATGGCTTTTATTATTTTGCTGTCATAATCGATATCCTTTCATAAGACAGATGTCAACAGTCCAGCTCTGTACATTATATCAAGATTGTTACTGGTTCTTTTATTTTGTTTTGATGGTGCATGGAATGATAAGTAGCTTAAGAGAAGAATTTGGACCTTTTTTAAAAAAAAAGAAAAGAAAAAGAAAGCTGAGTTGCTGACTATTTTGGTTAGACTGTACACTATTTAGTTGTGGTATCCTAAATGCTAATCATAAAGGGATCTGTATGCATTGGCAATTCTGTAAGACAACAATTGCAAATGAGATGTGTTGGTTTCAAATACAACCACTTTGACCCAATAGACTGGAATGAAACTCCAATATCAGAAAAGAGCTTTTTTTTAAACCCCTCATCCCTCATATTGTATCTCCAAAAATTATATTCTAAGGATGTTGATGTGGGTCACAATGGTATGGAATATGACATTGTAGGCTGCAATGTAAATGTGAATTTGATTTGAATTAGGCTGTTGGTATATGAGTATTTTGTGCTATTTGATCATTTAATTGGTTCAAGCCTGAGGAAACACATTTTGAACAGAGCAAGAGAGATATTAATTAGATCAATTTTACTGAAATACATCCTATGATATTTTACTCAACTGCAACACCTATCATAAGACCTCATCTAGATGTGCCTCAACATGCCATTAAGAAGATCGTACTGGCATTCTATATGGTGTTTCATAATCACATATTAAATTACAGATGTCATATCATTGCCAACGATATTCCCTATAGAACCTCATAAGACCAAGTAAAATAGAAGACATAGGTAGCAATATCAAACAGACTGTTTTAGGTCTTATAAATGGTTATGTACCACTCACTGCTTCTGCAACCTCAGCACACTCACTGCTTCTACAACCTCAGCACACTTTCCATTCTCTTACTGGGCTTTGACTGTGAATGTAGGCTGTTAATGACTATGGGCATCAGCAGTATGCCAGGCAATATTGCCTAGAGGGTATGGCACATCTTGGCTGGTTCTGTTTTCTTGGAGCTAAATACTCAGTTTTTTCTCCACTCTGTAAAGTGAGATAATTTCTCAAATGCAAAAGTGTGTATGTGTGTTTGAAAGAGAGAGTGTGAATAAATGGGAAAAACCATGACTCAATGTCCAAGGTGTGGTTGTGCAACTCATATTCTGCAGTACACATTAAAAGACACATAAATGGAGCTGTCCTCTGAAGTCCTGTTATCTAGTGCAGGGCTTCTTAAACCCAACCCACAGAAGAGAAAGTTTATAGGAGACATTGTAGTCATGTATAAACATGTGAAAGGGTGTCATAAGGAAGAGCGAGCAGGTTTGTTTTCTGCTGAAACTAGGACTCTGAACAATGGATTCAAATTACAGGAGAGGAGATTCCACCTGAACATTAGGACGAACTTCCTGACTGTAAGAGCTATTCAGCAGTGGAACTCTCTGTCTCGGAGTGCCGTGGAAACTCCTTTCTTTGAGGCTTTTAAATAGAAGCTGGATGGCCATTTGTCAGGGGTGGTTTGATTGTACTTTTCATGCATGGCAGGGGGTTAGACTGGATGGCCCATGTGGTCTCTTCCAATTCTATTATTCCACCCTTGCTTGAGAAAATTTTACATGACTCCAGGTATATAGGTATATAAAATAAATATTAAAATCAAGCATTTACAGATTAAAAATCAGAATTTGC